GCAGGAAGGATGTATTCAGCGTTGAGGATTATCACTGAAGGAGTTGAACATCTCCCAGGCTTACAAGTGCGCTGTTCTTTTCATTTATTTCTTATTCCTCAGCAAATATCTTTAATGATGTGCCCTGTGCCAGCAAATCAGAAAAAGGGCATTGCATCCAGATGTGATCTCTGCGACCTTTAGGAACTGGCACGTCTCTCATTTTATTTGTTATCCTTTGTCCCCTCCTCTCCTCCAGGCCAGGCTCCATTGGCATTCCTTCCCCCCAACCCCAGAGGTTTGTGGGCAGTGACAACAGGGCTCTGACGGGAAACGGGTTCCCACCAGGGGGCACTGGAAGGGGCGAACATTCTGAGAAGCCCTTCTCAGAACAGCTCTGAAAGTCACCTCTCAGCGCAGCAGAGAAACCGAGAGGAGAAGCCGTCGGGCAGGGCTGTCTGGGAAGCAAAGCGGCTGTCGTTCCTAATGTTTCAAGGTTCATGTCAGCGTCACCTCGAGTTCATCCCCTGACATTTCTGATGTCAGAGTTTCATTTTGAATCAGTGCCTCAAGTGAAATGTATTCCTACTGAATTTGGTCATCATAGTAACTGGCAGATGGCTGGTTTTCGTATTTAAAAACATGGCTTGAAGCGGGCTCAGTTTCAATAGCTGCCTCAAGCCAACAACAGGGCTTGTCACCCAGCTCAGGCGCTCCAGGTTGTGGTGTTACCATGACGGATCTCTGGTGGCAGCTGCATTTGCCACTGAAGGGCTGGCAATTGGGAAAGCCTTGAAAACCTCTGGCTTTAGAAAAATAGGATGATTAGAGCTGATCCTATGAGTTTGCTACAAGATATGCCTTATTTTCTTCCAGAAATTTACAGAAAGGCCAAAATTCTTCCTTACTTGGTCTCTAGATCCATTTCTTAAGGGTCTTTTGAAGACAAACATATTTTAATTGAGTTAACTCATATTACCTGGGAGGTGCAACACAGCTAGCTTTTCTATAGCAGGGATTTCTACCTCTGATCAGGAGTTAAAAAGGCTTTCCAGATGCCAAACCAAGAACCCACATTGTGGGGGAGAGGGGAGACAGGACAAGGTGACACATTGAGTTTCTCACAGAAATGTTTATTCAACGTAGAAAACTATCCTTGGAGCTGGCCGGTTAGCTCAGTTGGTTGGAGTGTGGCTTTGTAACATCAAGGTCAAAGGTTTGGTTCCCTGTCCAGCCAGTTGCAAAAAAAGAAAGCTATTCTTTATTCTGAGTTGATGTCCTTTATATATTTGGGGCATTAAATTATCGTGTGTGTGTGTGTGTGTGTGTGTGTGTGCACCTATGCCTTTCTCCTTTTGATACTAAAATCCGTTCTTCTAAGAAATGATAGTCACCAGAGATGTTAGTTTTTCTAAATGTATTGTCAAAATAAGTGAGCAACCCTGTGTCAGACCCCAATCTGCTTGGCTGTTTTTTGTGTTTGTTTTGTTTTGTTTTTTGACATTATGCTGTCTGTGAAAACTTAGAGAGGATAACTATATCAGGGGATTCACTGGCAACTAAGAGAAAGCAAGTACCTGGATAGTGGGACAGTAAACTGACAAATGCAGGTGGAAGAGAAGAATGGAGCTTGGCCCGTCTGGGTCTGGAGGGACACTGTGTGGGAGGAAAAGGCGAGGGGGCTCTAGAAGCCTGGGAAGCAGGATGGGGCACCCAGCATGAGGGGAGGGAATGTTCTAGGCAGTCAAGCGTGCTGCAAGGAAAGGCAGTCTCCCTGAAGATGGCTCATCTGTTTTCCAGCTTCAGCAGTAGCAAAGCCATGGACTCCAAACAGTCTTCCAGCACCCCGAAGCCCTTGTTTGCTCTGTGCAGAAACTTTGATTTCGTCCCTGTAATGAGCTGATGTAGATGGACTTTGCATCACCTTGTACACAAGGCCCCTCTCCCCCACATCTCAGAGCAGTGTTTCCTAGAACAGTGTTGTCTGTGAGCTCAGAATGCATGACAAGCTCACAGATACCACACCCAGGACATCCGGCTGTCCTCACTGACCCTAAGTGGGTAGGTGGGCTCCGAGAAGGAGCAACAGGATTATCTGCAGGTCAGCACCGAGAAGGCAGAGAAGCCTCAGAGGCAGTTTCACAGGGTGGATGCAGTTATCATTATTACACACTTGAGGCAGTTACTGGAGGGAGACAGAAGAGGGCTGGCTGCTTAGCCCCTCTGGTTAGAGCACGGCGTGGTATCACCAAGGTCAAGGGTTCGATTCCTCACCTGCCAGCCGCCCAAAAGAACAAAAATAAAGACAAAAGAAAAAACATAAACTAGTGTCCATTTTAACATCGAGCCTATTTTTGAGAAAGGGCAAGGAGTCCAGCCCAAGGCAAAACGGTGATGAAAGTGGCCGAGTTTGCTTTTGATGTGTGGCACTCCCCGCTTTCGCCACTGAATTAGTTATCCACTGTTGGAAACAAATTATTACTCCCAGACCTAGTGACTTACAACATTTATTATCTCCCAGTTTCTGTGGGTCGGGACGCCAGGAACAGCTTAGCTGGGCGCCTCTGGCTCACAGTCCCTCATGATGGTGTGGTCGCCGGAGCACCCACTTCCAAGCTCACTCCCGTGGCTGTCGTGGGCCATGGCCGTGGTTGCTCCTGACAGGGAGTCTCCACGAGCTGCCCGAGAGTGTTGCAGCATGGTGGCGGGCCATCCAAGACAAGGAATGCCACACAGAGCCAACACAAGAGCCACAATCTTTGGTAACCTAGCTTCAGGGGTGACATTCTGTCACTTTTACCACATTCTATTCACAAGAAGTGAAGGACTGGGTGCAATTCATACTCAAGAAGAGGGATCGCAACAGGCATGAATACCTGGAGGGAGACATGATCGGGGCCCATCTTAGAGGCTGCCCACCACGGCTACCCTCCTTATCTTCAAGTTAATAATGACAGTAATAATGATATTAACCTCACAGGGTGGTGTGAAAAGAGGACTTTGAAAACAGGCCCTAGAAAGGCAGAGTAATCCTTCCCTCACCCTCAGACCAAATTATGGAGATGAGCCAGACACCTGCCTTTTAACAGTATCCCAGGCAAGCTTCAGGCACACTAAGACTTAAGAACCACTCATAAAAATTAATGTTTTTCTTTTACTTTATAAATTGGCAAGAAAAGAAAAGCCAAGAGAAAAGCCAAAAGAAAAGAAAGAGAAATTAGGTAAAAATGGGGTTCAAGGGAGTTATGTGGTAAAATTTTCTAAAACTCAGCTGCTCGACTCTGGCCCTGTCCTTAAATAACTCTCCTGGGCTGGGTCTGTTCTCAGGGAAACTGTTATGTGGTGGAAATCCTGGTGACACCAATTACACTTCACAGACTGAACCTCACTGGAGCAGTGTCCTTATGCCTCGCTCGAGATGTCCCAGCCTCCAGTCTGATCAATATCACCCCTTCCGCAATTACCTCCTCCCACCCTATGGCAGCCTATGAAGCCAGGTTTCTGTGACATCCCTTAAAACAACAAATGTATTTGGCAAATGACTCTGGCAAACACATATAAACATTTTTTTGATTAACAGCAACACACCTGAAGGTATCACTTGGCCTTCTCCTTGTCAAGAGTGAACACTCATTGTTCTACCCAGAAGAAAACTGGAGCCATGTCTAGCTGCAGTTCATGGCAGAAGAACACAGGTGATTCTTCCCATCAGATCAAATTGTCAGAAGTTGGAAGGGACAGTGAGATTTCATCAAATCCATCCCTTCCCATGTCAGAGAGAACGATCCTCAACATACCCGAGCACCCCTCTGATAGGTAGTCTCTTATTTAATCCCGTGGGCAGTCTATTCCCTGTCTCAACCCCTACAATCATGTGTTCTATACATAACTGAATCTTTTCTGTTATAATTTACGGCCTGCTCTCTAGTTCTGACCTCAAGGGAAATGAAGAACAGATGCTCACACAGCTTTTGATATTTAAAGATTCTCATTAAGTCACCGCTCAGCTTTGTCCTGCCATTGGGGAAGGCGGGCACACAGGTTGCTGCTGCTTCTCTTTCTCTGCTTTGCTCTGCTTGGCTTGTATTTTTGGTAACAGGCAGCTTTGTTTTTATCTGAGTGGATTAAGACTAAATTATCCTCAAGTCAACACAACTGGAATGGCATGGTTTATCTTTTACGAATTCTACCGACACGTGTTGGGTCCTATGAGGTGATTTGGCTTAAACAGATAACATTTTAAAATTACAATCAATTTTTTTGTAATACCATCTAAAACTCAGAAATGCAAAAACTTGACTTTATTAGCTGGCCTTTGATGTTTTAACCTGGTATGACTGAGCTTTGTTGAAACTTGTTTCCATAGTCATTCAGAATTAAAATCAAAGACTATTTTTCTTCCTTATTTTGTAACTATTTGCACAATAAGGCCCTCTGAGTCTTAGAGCTAAATTACTAAGCATTTCCAAAAATTGAACAAGGTACTGAACAGTCTTCCAAAGCAACTCCAAAATAAAGTTCATGAAGCACCTGTCATTTTTACCTATTTTTTTTCTTAACAATATCTTGTTGGGAGTTGGGCAAAAAAGGACTCTCCATGTTACAGACAGGGACTGCTATAAAAGATGTTGCCAACAGTGACCAATAGCAAATGGCTATAGCAAAGTATAAAGTATATAGTGGCAATAGCAAATCTAGGTCTGGTGGCTTTCAACCCTGGGTTCCTTACACCAAATATTCTAAAAACAAACACTTCATACTTATTACATTTCTACACGTATATGTAGATTTAAGGACAGTATTTTTGTTCTGTTTTCATTTGTGTTCTCAATGCTTAACATTTACTAGAATTACATCACCACAATCATTATTCAAATAAGAAACAAAGTCTCATCCCATCTGGGGAAATTATCTTCAAAATTTCACTAGCTCTATGCCCTAGAAAACACTTCCTCTTGTGTTCAAGAACAAGTAACACACCCAGAACAAGCCCTAAAAATAAATGACGAAGCCCATCTTACTTACAGGAGGAAAGAATCATGGCTGCATTTCTGCGGGGATAACACAAAACAGCTTTCAGTTCTTCCGCGGGGCTCCACTCACAAAAACACATCTTTTAACTGAAATCATAGTTCACCCAAGACGTTTCTCACAGGCAGAGTTAACCCCACCTATTTTCCTGTTCTGAAAACCTCAGAGAAGTGTGTGAATGACAACCCAAGGGCCAAATAAAGCTCAATAATCGGCATCCAGATCTCTGAGGGAGGTCGCTATTTGTTCTTCATTCCCAAAAGTGTGGGTGACTCTTGCAAACATTTTCAAGAAATCACAAAATTTTGGTAAAAGGGACCTTAAAAGTCATCCAAATTGCCTCTCTGGACAAAAGGAAATGGAGGCACAGACAGAATAAGGGACTTACCCAAGGCCACACAGTCAGTAGTAGGAATGGAATTAGATTCTAGGTTTTGAAATACCAAGTCTACAAAGTTCTTTCCTCCCACTCAGACACTTCAGGGACCTTATTAGGAAGGGTGACAGGAATCTAATAACATACCTAAAAGGGGAGAAATATAAGAACATCAACAATATAAAACGTGTTTGGGAGTTTCATTTCATCCAGATAGAACTTTCTAGACTGGAAAACATAACGAAAAATTAAGCAATTAAGGGAACAACTTTAATGAAGACACAGAATATTCACATTGCCCTTCCTGTTTCCTGCCCTCTAATTTAAGATCTCTTTAGCATTCTGAGTGGATTTTTTTTTTTTTACTTCACCTTTTGCCTTAGCTATCCTTTCATATAAAAAACTCTTTTAAGGTTTTAGCGCAAAATATTTAAAGATCTTTGAAGAAAATGTTCCCAAATGTTGCCAGGTATTACCTGTCTTGTTTTCCCATTAAAAGCGTATGTGTCTGTTGGAGCAGGGACTCTACCTTCTCAATCTCTTCAATGCCACCCAGTGCCTCCCCCAGCTCTTCAGGGTGGAAAGGGAAGGATGGCATGGGAGGAGGAGGAGAAAGGTAGGGAAGGAAGAAGTATGACAGTGACAGGAGGTACAGTTTGCCTATGACCAGTCCCTTGAATGAGCTAAGTCACTTCAAAGGTGGGTGTTTTTGTGATGCGGGTACAATTAAACAGGAAGATGAGGAGGAATATGGCAGATCTTGACAAGACGTAGGATAAATATTTTGCTTTTTTCCATTATAAGGGGCACAAGGAAGAAATGCACACAGTGTGGGGACCGCCTGGTGCGCAGACTGCAGACTGGCCAGGATGGAAGGAGATACAGGCTGGGAAGGAAGGCGCTTCCCAGAGCTGCACCTGTGTGTTCACCCACCGCTCCATGGCCTCCACAGTGCAGGAGAGACCAGGGCAGCCCCAGAGGGGACGGAATGCTGGAGGAAGTGGCCGTGTCTTCCTCAGTCTTCAATCCCAGCAGATACCGAGAATATGTTGGGCAGTAAATGGTCTCTGCTGTTGGTAACTGAGACAGTTTCTGTTCCCTGGGTCTCATGAGGAAAAAGGAAGGCTCTAACTCAGTTGGTGTCTTAGGCAGAGATTGTAAAGGTGAGAAACCCACTCAAGCAAACTCCATAGCAGGGTCTATAGTGAGAATCTAACAGTCTAGCTGAGCCAGGAACCCAAGTCCAATCAGGCTTCCCGAAAACATCTGCGAGGCAGCTTGGCACACCGTGCTCCCCATTTCTCTTGGTAGCTTCCTGGACTCTCTGCCACAACTTGAGCTGCTCTGCATCCTGCTTGAAGTGGAGGCAGACTTTGTTGTGAATCATAACCAAAAGAATCTGCTCTGACCAGGCCAGCTAAATTATAGTACCTTGGGAGATCTTGAATAAGTCAGTAGTCATGTCCACATGTCCTGGAAAATGTTATCCTAAGACCATTTTACTTAGAGGCAGACAGGATGACACCAAAAAGCCATAAAATAACCTAGAATGCTTCTTTTATCCCTTACCTTAGATCCCTGCATGTAGGATGTAATCTAGTAACAATCCCAAATCTGTATGTCACGTGCAACCAATAGAAAACCTGATGAAGTAATTGGGGAGGGCTGTCCTTCTCTCTTTCCTTTAAGCCTCTCCGCTTTTAATGATTATAAGATATTAAGCTCTCCTGGCACATTTTCAGGGCTACCTGATCTACGTGTCTCCCTGGTTGCAATCGTCATACTGGCTCAATAAATCCTTGATGTATGTATTTGGTTTCAGTTTCTTTTTAGGTCAACATGAATATCACTTGACCCTTCTGCTCCAGAGCCCAGCACCTCCAGTTAAAGAATCTATGCCCTGGGGCAGGTTCTTAAGACTTAAAAACTGACTGACTCCCTACTTCAATGTTCCACCTAATTCCAACTGGCTATGAACACCATGGGTGGGGTCCCACAGCCCAAACACAAGCCACGTGGGAGGCTGAGCTGGGCAGGCACCCCAAACACGTCTACCTGAGTGAGGGGGCAGTAGCAGTAGAAGAGTCCAGACTCTCTTCTCTTCAGTTAGGAATATGTGATCCTCAGGGGAAAAGAAATTGATAGCAATAAGGCACAGTCTCTAGTCCTCAGAAAGTAAGCTTATATATTACAGAACTAAAAGACAACTCATGTTTCTTATAAATATATAACTTTATATATTATATAGATTTACAATATATACAGCACACAAATATTTTTAATGTAATACTCATGACGGTCTTGAAAACAGATGTTTTCAAAATAAAAGATAGGTATTTATCCAAGGTGGGTTCCCGATTCTTCTAGAAACCAATTCCAGACAATGCCCCGATCCAGATTTCTGTAGAAGGCCATGGGAAGAGGAGGGTAGCCAGAACGTGGTGTAATACCCTTCTCCTTCCCAATACCCTGGACACCTTCTGGCACCAGCTAACACAGTCCTGTGTGCATCCCTAAAAGGGGCAAACTGTGGGGCTGGAACACAGTGGGCACTCAAACGCCTGAGGAAGGAATCCGAGTGAGTGCTTTTAATCACCACCTCTAAGGCAGCATTTCCACAAGCTGAAGATTCAGTCACAGAGCTAAGGCTGGTCTAGAAGCAAATGGTGCTTTCACTTTATAAGTAAAACAATCTACACACCCAGGTGCTAAATAAATTAGAAGTGAGCCACCAAGTGCCATTTCTTCCTTGTGCTCTGGACTGTGGGAGCCGCTGGTCACACCACTACTTATCTTCCAAACATTTCTTCACATTCAACGAGTTCATCTATCGCACGTAGCAAATCTTCAAAGGAAGGCCTTCCCTCTGGTTTCTACAATTAAAAGTCAGAGAGAAGCTGTGAGTTCCAGAATCCATTCCAAACAAAAAAAATTTCTTATTGCTCAAATTCACACAACACAGCATACTACAGAGCCACTGCTTTGGAACTGGAACACGGAGGTATCTCCAAATGAGTCTGTCTCTATGCTAATCTATCCTGCATGCACCACTGCTCCACGAACTTTTCTAAGACACTGCTTTCATGTCCTGTTCAAGAACCTAATGGAGTTCCTTATCGCCTGTGAAATCAAGATCTGCTAATTTGCAGGACCCTCTCTACCCTGCCCCTCCCCATCCACGTTACACAATTTCATTTCCCACAAAAACCCTCTCGTGGACTGTCTGCTAAATCAGACCAGTCTCCACCCTCGAGTACACACACCGTGTTGACAACCGTCTCTTACATCTGCTCACACTGTTCTCTCTCCCCCTAGCACCACTTCCTGCCCAGAAGCCCTCTGCCCACCTCCATAAGTGCTCTTGGGAGGAGTTACAGCAAGTGATTGAGAGCCTGGGCTTTGGAGTCAGATGGGTCTCTGCTGCTCTGTAGCTAATTGGCCTTGAGCAAGCATCAACTTCATGAGCCCTAACCTTCGCATTTACAGAGTGAGCATAGTAAAAGCACCTACACCTCCAAGGGTTATTTTGAGAACTAAATCTAAGGCATTTTAGCATAGTGCCTAGTACACAATACATGGGAGCTAATGTTATTGTCTTTCAAAAGTCATTCTGGTGTCTAGTCTGTTCTATGAGGTGACATTTCAATACTTCCAAAGACTGTGAGTAAACAAATGGGGAAGCTGAGGTTTAGAGATAGAAATGCTCTCTGGTAGAGTCACACTTTAACCCCACAAGTCATCCACTGAAAGATGAAAAGCCACTTCTCCAGGCTGCTCTCTGCATCCCCAGCACATGCAACTGGAAAAGGATCCCCACTTGGGAGGGAGGCAGCGCCTGAGTTTACTAAGTTGATTATTAGCATTTCCCACCACTTCTCATTCTTCTTCCCATTATTCAGAACTGAGCAGAGAGGGCTGGCTTCCTACCTAGAGCTTCAAATCATTACAAAACATGCGCCACTTCACTAGGCTATAAAGACAGCACATTATGCATCTACCAAGCCCACTCCCATTTCAGAGATTCAAAAAGAAAGCACACACAAAAAAATCTATACCTCCTGCCAACATCTCAGCATCACCTCATATGTGTGGTTGGATGCCAGCTTTGGCCGGTAGAGTCGGTAGCCTCGAGTAACCATGGTTACCACTTCATAATTGGTTTTTTTTTCAAAGGGCATTCTGCCTTCAGTGAATACTTCCCACATTAAAACACCTGGAAAAGGATAAGGATCACCAAATGATGTATCCACTTCCTCCTCAGGGCAGAGTTGAGAAAACATGGACCACGGATCTTACCGAATGACCAGACGTCGGATTTGCTGCTAAAGCGGCTGTAATTAAACACTTCAGGTGGACACCACTTCACGGGAAATTTAGCACCAGAAGAACTTGTGTACTGATCATCCAGAACGTACCTAGGGTAAGACACACCATGAGTTTACACCTCTGAAGTACGGTCTGCACTTTGTGTTTTCATTTTTTTCCCCTTACAATCAAAAACACAATGGACTGATCCTGCCAAAGCTACGTGGTCACCTCAGTGGCCACACCTGGTGATCTCCAGCTGCCTCTCAGCTTAATTTGAGTGCTTGAGATGGATGCTTCATGACATCAGCATCTACACTTTCTTTTTCTGTTCATTTTTCTTTTTTATAACGCAATAAAGGCAGAATAAACAAAATAGTTTGCAAACTTTTCGGTAAGCAATTTTGTTCTTTAAA